AACAAAAGTAAAAATGGCAAAGATTAATAATTGGTATTAATTCTGCCATATTGGGGGGTGATTGTTGACACACTAAAAGTGCAGTCCAAATCGAATAGCCCAAGGAATGAAGCCCAATTGGAGAATCCCCAAATCAAATAGCCTAAAGAATGAAGTCCAACTGGGCAATTCAGGATAAAGGCCCAGATAAGGTTATTGATGAATGCAGTGGAAGCCCACGAACACAGTAACATCATCGCCCAAGCTTGCAAGACGCCCAAGATCTGAGCGAATGAAGTGCCTTACTGTCGCCCAGAGCTATGACCCTGTTCTCGCCCAAACCTTCGAATCGCCCAGGATCTTAGCAAACATAAGATGTTATGGTTATCCAGAAGTGCAGTTATTGAAGCAGTTATCGAGTAACCTTATCACGTTCCACGATTCAAGGAGTTCAGTTGAAGACGGTTGAACGACAAAGAGTAGTGGCAGCAGTTAGAGACGACAGTTCCACGACAAGTTAGCCACCATAAAGAAAGTGGGTAATTATAAAGCAATCAAGCAGTTTCTAAGCGGTTGATCCGAAGAAATCATCAAGGGAATATAAAAGGAAGAGAAGACACAGAGCAAAGGACCCCGGAATCAAACACTCTCAAACAGAGCATATGTGATTTCAATTTCTTAATTTAGATTTAAATATTTTTTTCAGTACTCGTGTACTTGCGCCCCTTGGAGGCATTCTGTTTAGTTCAAATTGTAAAGTCATCGCCAATAAAACACTCATTTTTGGGACTTTGTCTCAAGATGTTTGTTCCTTACACAATCGTCTGATCACTTTTTAATTGTTAGCGACTACCCGCTCGAAACAATAATAATAATAATAAATAAATAAATTTAATCATAGAATATGAATTTTGAGATTACAATTTTTTCTTCTAAATTTCTATCCTTAATTTATTTTCTTTAATTTGTTTGAAACTCATCAAATCCTCTCAACAAATTGATATCAAATATTACTTTTACATCACTTATAAAATACTTCTAAATAACATGCAATGCATGTTCAACTTTAACTAGTATTACCAAGAGCAAACAATGTTTTGTGGTTACTTTCAAAGTACTTTTCTATTTTTCAACGCTACAATATTAATTCAAAAAGTAAACTTTCAAGAACAACAATAATAAAACTTTTCACTCTTGATATGATAAAAGAACCAACCTTAATTATGATATTTTAGAGAGTCATAATCAAGATTCTCTTTTCAAGTCAACGGTAAAAAATTTGTATGAACTGGAAGCAGGAGATCACTGACAGCAGTAAATGCTTCTGATTTTTGGATCATATCAATCCCCAAATATATTGAATATTGAGAAATTCTACAAGGATGGATCAAGAAACCAAGGCTTGAATACACCAACATATTTGTGATACCACGTTAGATAAAATTTACTACAAACTACTTCTTTCAACTACTTGCGAAAAGAATCTCAACACACCGTTTTGCCAGTGGTCATAACAGAATACTAACAATACCATCAAACTACTGGTTAACTGGAAGGGCAGGCCTTAGTGGCTCATGAACTGCCATAGGAATAGTCTCGAATTTGCAATCGACCGATAACAACTGAACTGAGTCTTGAAACGTGATTTTCTTAATAAGATTTAACATGACAGGTTCAAGCTCGTTCCCGTCGGTCCATTCATGGATTTCCGCTCTTATAAGTTCAGGATTTTTCGATATCAGATCCCAAACTGGGAAATTCTTCCTCGGCATTGCATAATCTACTTCTTTAAGCTTCGACATTGGACAAAAGTCACCACTTCCATCGCCAAGATAGATTATTCTTTTCTGCCCTTCCTTGGCAAAAGAAGCTTGTATCCTCTCTATAATCTTACCCTGCTTAAAACAAACCCAAAAAAGATTTAAAAAAAAAAAAAAAACTTGAGTTTATTGATTTGTTCTTAATGTGACATCAAGATTTTCACCATCTTTCAAGATAGTCATTTTAAGCTAATATTAATCAATTAACAAGATTAAATGGGGTTTGTTGGAAGATACAATAAGAAAAACATGGAATGGGATGAAATTAGTATTTACCTTGCACATGTTTGGAGGGCAGAGATTGCAGCCATGAGAAGATGAATGAAAATCATGAAATGGGAAAATTCTTAGCCTTCCATCTTCATCGACATAGCTTGGGTTTGTGTTGATTTCAGTAAAACAATCCCTTATTCCAAGGTGATTCAATATTGTCTCGATAAAAAAGAGATTTGCATCACTGACTACCCTCAGATCACACCTAAAACAGAAAATTTCCATTGACTTCTATCAATAAAATGTATGGAAAAATACATAATGAAAGAATTTTATATCCCCAAGTTCTGCAAAATTTACCCTAAAGAATGAGCTGTTTTAATTGCTGGGACTACTCTCGGATGAATTGGGACCCTTTTTAAAACCTTTTCAATGTCTTCAATGGTTTTCCCTTGTGCGTGAAGCTCTTTCATCATCCTGTCCTGTAATGAGAAACAAATTCAAGAACCCATTCATTAGAAACTCAATAAGAAAAAAATAAAAATTCATATGAACATGTTTGAATATGTACAATTTACAATTTATCTCAATAATTTATACCTATCAACTCTAACTGCATCTCACATTGCTAAATTAAGATTTCAATAAATCGACCCAATTGTGTAAACCAAAGGTCGAAAACTTACCATCAAAGAATTCCAAAACATGGTTGGAAGAAGTTGATTGAACAAATCAGTGGCACCCAATTCATCAACCACCCAATTATCGCTATCTATGTCGATAATCGTCTTGTCGAAGTCGAAAACCACCACAACTCCTGCCATATCTGATATTGATCAAGAACCCAATTGAAAGCTTTCTTTATCTGATTTCTTGGTTTCAAATCTTATGATTTTCGTGTCATATATATATACACAAGGTGGGAGTGGGTATGTATAGGGATGGATATGTTAATTGCCATTTTTAATGGTGTTCGAAAAGAATTTGTGCATTCAAATTAGATGCCAATGGAATATTACGCCCCGAATTTGTTGTGGTATGTTGAAGCAGGGCAATATAAATATTATTCCCTTTTTATTTTTTTGCCATAGAAACCTCATTAATAATCACATCCGTTGGATTTATTGAGGTTTAGGTGTCGTGAAGATCCGACGATCACGGGGTGTTTAAAATTTTAGGCTATTTGGGGTAGAAAGGCGGGAATAAAGAGAATATTCTTTTGGAATTGAGTTCCCATTATCCCATCGTCCAACTGTGAAAGCACTGGAGTGGAATATGCCGGTCTGATTCCGGTTCAGATTCTTGACGGCTCAGTAAATTCCCAGATGCTTTATTGGCAAATCTAGAACCTTTTTGGGAGTGATTTTGATTTTTTGACCGTTAGGGAAAAAGTGAGATTCATCTGTGAGAGAAGAAGTCAAATATGACGACTGAAATAATAAAATAACGATCAAAAAATCAATTTTTTAGGTGAAAAAATCGAGCCCAAATAGCCCCCTAAACTCATATTACTGTGGAGTATAAGGTTTATTTAGGCAATGATCACTGAAGTTTGTAAAAATAAAAAAATTAAATGGTTGTTGAAGTAATTTTTTTACATTACTAACCCAAAATTTCAAATCTTATAATCATTCGATTAGATATATTAACTTTTTTTTTTTTTTTTTTTTTGTGTTACTCTTGCATTTAAATAGGGATGGCAAACAAGGTCGAGCGGCTCGTTGGCTCGGCTCGCGAAAACAGGGCTCATTGACGACTTGAGTCCATGCCGAGTAGGGGGCTCGATCTGACGAGTTGAGCCTGCTCGGCTCGTCGGCTCAACTCGTCGAGCTCGTAAAAAAAGTGACAAAAAGTTGCCAAAATTTCTTAAAAAAATAAAATCATGAGCTCGCGAGCGATTCATGGGCCAAGCCGAACTCGAGTTTGGCTCGTTTTTCACGAGCCACGAGCCCGAATCGAGCTCGTAAGTTAAAGTCGATTCAACCCATTGTCATCCCTATATTTAAACAAACATAAATGACGTTAAATAGAATATCACAAAAAGCCGTGTTGATTGCAGTCAAGGTGTAATTGTTAAAGGGACGTGCTGCCCCTGGACGTCCAGTTTTATTCATTGTTAAAACACGTTTTCTCTATATATATTTTTTAATTTTAATAAGCAATCAGTTGATGAAACTTAACAATTTTTTGGCCAAATTTTTAAGGTGGGGCATTTGTCTAACACAGCGTACTAGTGGACGACATTTGCCAAGCGGCTAGAGGTAGATGTTAACGTTTTTGGACGAGTGGCCATTAATGTATACGTTTCATATGAGTGTCATTAGTGTAATTGTTGGAAATATTATATTAAATTACAGGCTTAGAATGAAAAATGATTAATATTTAATGCAATTTTGAAATTAAACTTTATTTATAGTAAAAAGTAAAATAAATCGTGAAATTAACGCAATTATTTATTATAACGTTACAAAATTGATGAACGTTTATTATCCTACATATATAAAAAAGGGAAGAAAAGGTTGGACACGTGTCAAATATATGTATCGTCCTATACGGATTTGCATTTTTTAATTCTCAAAACGCGCTCAGCCCATTCTCTGTACTCGTTTTTTCTTCTTCTCCATTCTCTAGCGCAACCACCCACTCTTCCTCCATTTTTTTACTCAATAACCCATCTTGTGCAGACTTGTCTTCTCTCTCTTTTTTTCCCTTTATTTTTGTATAATTTTTCTATCCGCTATTCTCTCAGCTCTAATTTCTCGACATCTTGTGCAAAAATTTTTGCTATGAATCCTCGGCATGGTGGATGGGTTTACCGTTTGTTTCCATATCTGTAATATTCTTTTGGCCTTTATGATTATGGTTTTTTTCCTCTTCGTGATTTCTATACATCGCAAAAATCAGCTGCTTTGAGTTTTTGATTCGGTGAAGACTTAACAGATTTGAAAGACTGTTATGATTGACTATTTTCGATTGCAGTAGAAGCGGCGATGGTAATTTATTTGGTGTACATATTATTATTATTATTATTTATTTTACCTTTCCCTTCCCAACGGAGTTGTTTCTTCTCAATGGAGTTGTTTGCTTTTGCACATGTGAATTTGCTTAACTATGCAATCTTTATCCTTGTGTCATTTGAGAATTGGAACAAAGATATTCCTGTACGATTCATCTTCCTTACCTTTCTTCTTTCTTTCTTTTTGAAAATCAAATCGATTTGCGATTGTTCGTTTTCCTTTCTCGATCTCTTGATCGTTATGTTGGGAATCTACTTAACACATGTAGCGGAAAATCAAAATAATTTTCGATTCCCATCACGGATCTCTTTGTATTTAGATAGAAATTATATCTTTTACGAGATCTGCAAACTTATTTGCTTTTTTTTTTTGTTTCAGCAACTTAAATCTATCTCCCACAACTGTCCAATTGTCCAGCCTTCAACGGTGATCCACATAAAGAATAAGATTATATGATTATGATTTTTTTTGTGCTAGCAAGAATAATGAAAAATTTCTACAGCTTTTGAAAACTCTAATCATATTTATATAAGCTTGAACGGGTTTGACCTGACCCAATTCAATATTTAATTAACCCATTTAATTAAATTCGGTTCGTGAATTAATTAATCCAATTAATAAATTTAGGCCTATAAATAAGCAACCCAATTAACTAATTTATTCAATACTTGTTAAAGTAATTAATTGACAAATCACAATCTTCCAGTTCTCATTTTGTATGCAACCCATCAGGTTTCCGATCACGATGCCTACCAACGTGAAATATTATTTTGATCTAATCAAAATTGATAAATTAAAATACCCTTTTAATTTATCACCGATTCACACTCGTCGTTCCATATTGACATCTAGCAATGTGTCAAGACAATACATGTGACGAAAAATGTCACGTGGTATGACAAAATCAAACTCGTTCGTTTACTTAAAAATATAATCCCTTCATCAATATAATCCGATCAATTACGCTATGTGGAAGTGTGTTAATCTCAATTATCGATCATATCTTTCACTCCACTATTAAGTCAATATAAGTCGAAAACTCTTTTTTGACTTATGAGTACACCTTGACTAAGAATTTCGTTATCGACTTAATTGAATGAAATGCAGATCAAAATCTCTTACTATCTAAGAGTGACGAATCCTTTATTGGTCATTCACAACCTTCATATCATTCTTGACATACTTGAACGATGCCGTATTAGCGGCCCTTGGTAGAGCAACATCCAACATCGTCAAAACATGACTGTCCTCATATAAGGTACTATGACTACCCGAAGTCAAAGGACCAATCCCACTACCGAACGTTAGATATTAACCACTAACACTCAAATACAGTTAAACCTCGATAAAGTAATACCCTCGAGAACGGAAAAAAATATTCATTTAGCGAGGTTATTTATTTATCGATAAATGAATAAATTATTCATTTATCGATAAATAAATATTTATTATTTTAGAGAGAGCTTTTCAATATAAAATATGTACATTGTATGTGGTAAAAAAAATCAAAAGACACTAATCAAAGTATTATTTGAATCTAGGGAAGCTCAAAAGTTTTAGTGAAACTTAATGTCTCTAAAAACGAAGTTCACGTACATAGCAAATGAAAAGGTTTGGTCTTTACCTATAAAAGCTAGATGTTTAGAAGATATATTCCAAGCACATACAATATTTTGTTTTCCCTCCAATGTCTTTTCATCATTTGAAAGGAGTAAAAAAATAAAATGAGGAGTGCAATATGTGAGCATAAGAAAGAGAATCCAATTATTAGCCAAAAAGATATGCAAGCATGGGTGCAACAAAAGTTTGATTTGACTATTAGTCAATCAACAATATCGAACACTCTCAAAAGGACGTTGGAATATTTGTCAAATGAGATGAAAAATAGCGATGTTAAAAGGCACAAATCGGCAATATACCCTGATTTAGAGAAAATTTTGTATGAGTGGTTTCTTCAAAAGCAAGATAAAGTGAACATGTCTACAAAAATTATCCAAGGAAAAACAAAAGAGCTTTTGCAAAAAATGTATGGTGAAACTAATCCAGAATTCAGCTTTTCTAGTGGATGGTTGGAACGTTTCAAGGCAAGATATGGAATCAAATATTACCGACGTTTTGGTGAAAGTGGTTCAGTTATCATGGAGAACATTGAAAATGCTTTACCTGGAATACGATCAAAACTAGACCAGTTTCAGTTGAAGGATATTTACAATATGGATGAAACTGAATTATTTTACTGATTGGAAGCTAATCATTCACTTACTACCAAGCAGCTCGAAGGATGCTAAAAAGATAAGGAGAGAATTACTGTTGTTGTTTGTTACAATGGTGATGGATCTGACAAAGTATCACTTTGGGTTATTGGTAAGTATGCAAATTCTAAATACTTTAAAAATGTGAACATGAGCAATCTTAATTGCAAGTATCGATCCAACAAGAAAACTTGGATGACTGGCTTGCTTTTTCAAGATTTTGTTGGTTGGTTTGATAAGAGAATGAATGGCAGAAAGGTTCTCTTAATAGTAGACAATTGCCCAGTTTATCCAAAGGTAGTTGAAGGCTTGAGAAATGTAGAGTTATTTTTCTTACCTCCTAACACAACGTCTAAGATTCAACCATGTGATGCTGGGATTATTCAAGCATTCAAAGCTCATTATCGTCGTCGTTTTTATTCTAGCATCTTACAAGGCCTTAAGGTTGAAGCACCAAATCCTGAAAAAATTAATATTTTGAATGCTATTAATTTTGCTAACATGGTTTGGAATTTTGATGTGAAGACAACAACAATTGCAAATTGTTTTCGGCATTGCAAAATTCGGTTCGAAGAAAACAATATTCCCGAACCAGAAGTTGGTGAATTAGATGAAAGTATCCAAGGATTAAGTGATGTCATCTCTAATTTACACTATAGAAATGTGATGGATGTTGAACATCTTTTGAACTATCCTAGCGAGAATGATGTAGTTATGAAATCACCTACAGACGAAGAAATTATTCAATCGGTAATGAACAGTAATGATGATGAGAATGATCCTGAACCAGATGATAGTAGCGTTGTCCCAAATGTGTCGTCAAAAGAGGCATTTCAAGCAATAGTCACCTTAAACAAATACTTGCTACAACACGAGCAAAATATTCCGAAAGTTGTGTATGCTTTACAAAAAGTTAAGGATGTGGTTCATTTTGGTTTAGGTGGGAAGAAAAAACAATCAACTATAGATACATATTTTCAAAAGGAATGATTATTGTACAGGTATTGTTGATTGATTGAAAGATTTTGGTCTCTATATATATATATATATTTTTTTTTCCTCAATGAAATCCAGTAATTATTACTTTATATTTTTATTGGGTCCTTAAGGATTCAATTTTTTTAATTACTTAATGCATTTAGCGAGGTTATTACTTTAGTCCATTGGCCCAAGTCGGGATCGAAAGAAATTATTATATAATCGAGGTTATTACTTTATCAAACATTACTTTATCGAGGTCTAACTGTAGTTATCCATGTGAAATATCTAGGCGGGTCTCCAATGTTTCGCTCTATAATAAAACATCCACGTGTTCATTCAAGTGTCACCACACTTTAACTTGTGAGATCGGCTACTTACTTCACAAGTAAGATATGCCACACGTGATGGATTATTCGTAATAACGATATTCGTATCTCGCTATTACTTACAACCACGGACAATTTAAGATTCAATCATATGTAATTTGTATCTCACAATTACAACTCCTTGTGATTAACAAATTATGACGATTTGAATCTACGGACTGTATTATTCAATTTAATTGTCTATTAACTAAATAATAGATATGTCATTAATTTGCATTAATTGTATATTAAAAGTATTTATGTCCAAAGTTGATTGGATATAGGGCATAACTCTTACACGTTATGTAAGTTTATTATTATTTTTTTCAATTGATTTATGGCTAATATAATCTAGCTGAATTTAAATATGCTTTTTTTTTTTCAATTGATTTATGAAGAATATAATCTAGTTGGATTTAAATATGCTTTTTTTTTTAATTGATTTATGAAGAATATAATTTAGCCGGATTTAAATACGCTTGCAAGCGTGTACGATTCTTCATCTTCCTTTCTTGATTAATTGGTTTATGTAAATGTCTTTTATTCTTATTTTTTTCAATTCATTCAATTTTGGAGAATATAATAGCTCTATGCATGTCCCTTTATTTTTTTTAACAACAATGAAAAAAAAAAAATTTATGCGAAAGCTCTGTTGCTCCGTGCGTTGGCAGAGCTGTACAAGGAATGTTTTTTTTTTTTTTAATTCATTTTTTCTAACTCCATATATATTCTTAGGGGTTTAATTTCTTTCCTTTTTTTATTTTTTTTAGTTATGTCGAAAATTTTAGAAAAGTCAGAAAACTTCATATTTGGTTTAGTTCAAGGTTAGAGTTGGTGGAATTGATGACTATGGCTCTATAGTCTCTTTTGTAAGATTTTAAAAAGTTCGAATGATTTTCAAAAAATATATAATAACAACAAAACAAATTAAACTAAAGAAAGTTACAAAAATTAAATAAAGAATATATAAATATTATTTAATTAAAATTGAAAAAAATTAAGTTTTATCATGAAGAGAAAATAATTAAAAAAAATTATTTATAACATGAACAAAACAAATTATAAAACAAAAAACAAAAAAAGAAAATGAAAATCTCATCCTCCTCAAAAAATTGTTTGAGTTTTGATCTCAGCATAAGAACCTTATTGAGGATCAACTGCAATAGGATGGTCAATGAATGCATTAGATGACATTCCCAACAGAGTACTCCAGCTTAACTTAAATAGTTAACATCAACAAATAGATACATGAACACAAAAACATGTATAAAAACATGAAGTTGATTTTTAAAAAAACATCATTGAATTCATTAGTTCAGTATATGATTTACATTAGAATATCCATCTGTAATTTGATGAGTCCACTTTCTACCTCAACTAATCATACTTTTAAATTAAATATGTGATCCTCAGATAATGGTGAATATTTAGTTAATCTCAATCTAAGTTATGATTCTTATGACTCCATTTTCTTTTCATGGATTTGCAGTAATTGAGAATTCAATGATTCAAGCCATTTATGAATCAACATAGTTAATAGTTGAACTCAAACTTTGCTTACGAATATTTATATACACACCAAGAAGTCACTTTGATTATATGTAAGAATATAATTTAGAATATGCTTAATTATAATAATTTAAAAGCGCCAAGTAGCTCATAGTGTGGTTGGCCTAATATAAGATCAAATATTAATGGGAGGAGACTTCATTGAGCCTTTTTTGTATTACTCAAATGCAATCAATAGTTAATAGAAACCCTTCTTCGTATTGTCACAGAGGGAAGTAGCGTTCGATATGCCACCTGCTGATTGAATTCTCAACCAATTTTAGACTGTAATGGATGGAATGAACGATAATTTTTTTTTCATCATAATTGGGGCTACTAGTAGACTGACATAATTGACCCTATCGTCTTGATCAATTAGTTTATGTCCCTCTGCCAGATGAACGATCATACTTCCAAATTTTCAAGGCTTGTCTCCGAAAATCACCAATTTTCAAAGACATTCATGTAAGAGTTCTTGCCGAATATACTCCAAGATTTAGCGATGGTGATATTACAAAGGTATGACAACGGGCTTGCAAATATACAATCAGAGAAAATATTGAGAAAGTATGACTCTCTCCAACTATAATTTAATTTTCTACAACATATCTATGAATATCTTAGATTTTTACGTGCCTTTAGACTTAAAGCTGGTTTGGGAAGTGTTCATTTAAATTATAAATAAATATCATGTCTATTAATCATCCTCTATAGATTTTTTTTGTGAATTTACATCAATTTATTAATATAATATTCCCCTTGTACTTTTTCTTATTTTCTATGTTGGATCTAAGTTCCAATTCCAGTAGTTTGTTCTATGGACGAAAGCTTATTCCTCTGACACATTTAATCGAAAATGTAGAAAATCTAATTAAGACTCCAATTTTTTACTGGTTGCACATAGCTGTTTATTATAAATGAAATCTTAACTGAAAGATAATGTTCATCTTGTAAGTATTATGCTCTAAGTCCAATCAACTTTGGACATAAATACTTTTATATATAATTAATACAATTAAATGGCAGATCTATTATTTAATTAATAGACAATTAAATAAATAATAGAGTCCGTAGATTCAAATATTTGTAATTTGTTAATCACAAGGAGTTGTGATTGTGAGATACAAATTACATCTGATTGAGTCTTAAATCATCCGTGGTCGTAAGTAATAACGAGATACGGATATCGTTATTACGGATAGACCATCACGTGTGGCATTTCTTACTTGTAAAGTAAGTAGCTGATCTCACAAGTTAAAGTGTGATGACACTTAAATGAACACGTGGATGTTTTGTTATAGAACAAAACATTGGAGACCCGTCGAGAGATTCCACATGGATAACTATCTGAGTGTCGGTGGTTAATCTCTAATGTTCGGTAGTGAAATTGGTCATTTGACTTGAGGTCGTCATGGTACCTTATATGAGGACAGTCATACTTTGGCGGTGTTGGATGTTGCTCTGAAAAGGGCCGCTAATACGACATCGTTCGAGTACGTCAAGAATCGTATGAAGGTTGTGATTGATTAATAAAGGATTCGTTACTCTTAGATAGTAGGAGATTATGATCTGCGTTTCACTCAATTAAGTCAATGATGAAATCCTTGGCCAAGGTGTACTCATAAGTCGAAAAGGAGTTTTCGATTTATATTGACTTAATAGTGGAGTGAAAGATATGATCGATGATCGAGATTGACACAACTCCATATCTCGTAATTAATCGGATCATATTGACGAACGGATTATAGTTTCATGGTAAACGAACGAATTTGGCTTTGTCATACCACGTGACATTTCCCGTCACATGTATTGCCCTGACACATTGCTAGATGTCAATCAGGGACGGAGAATGTGAATTGACGATAAATTAAAAGGGTGTTTTAATTTGTCAATTTTGACTAGATTAAAATAATATTTCACGTCATTATGTATCGTGGTCGGGAACCTAATGGGTCACACACAAAAGAGAATTAGAAGATTGCAAATTGTCAATTGGTTAATTTAACAATCGTTGGATAAATTAATTAATTGGATTTGTTATTTATATTTTCGAATTAATTAATTGGATTAATTAATTCACGGATCGGGTTTAATTAATTGAATTAATTAATTATTGGACCGGACCGGGCCGAGCCTATTTGGGTTTATATAAATACATAACTAGGGTTTGAGGTCCATAAGGTTTTCATTATTCTTGCTGGCACAAGAAAAAACCCTAGAAGTTGCAACCTTATTCTCTGTGTGGATCACCGTTGGAGGCTGGACAATTGGACAGCTGTGGTGGCAAATCAAGGTTGATGGAACTGAAAGAAAAGCAAAGAAGTTTGCAGATCTGGAAAAGGTACAATCTTATCACAATTTCTATCTAAACACAAAGGCGATTCTTGGTGGGAATCGAAAATTATTTTAAATTCCGCTGTGCATGTATAAGTAGATTCACAACACATCTTCTTCCAAATTATAGCACTTTCATTACGTCAATACATGTAACGTTGCACCAAAACATTTGCTTTATATATTTGTTCAAGAACCAACACACGCTTATATTTAATATTCACCAACTAACGTGCAACACGCATTTCCTCACTAGTATAATCAAAGTTCAAAGTGGGCTAAGAATCACGTGATTGGAACATGGTTTGGAGAATTTTGTATTAAAATATTATTGCATTATCAATGTTAGAAAATTGACGACTAGATGAGTCTGGACAAAATTAAACCCCATTTGATAGCAATTTTTTACCCAAAAAAATCAAATTTTTGATCGCTATTTTACTATTTCAATCGTCATTTTTTACTTCTTCACTCATAAATGGGATCCATTTTTCTCTTTAAAGATTAACAAATTAATTTCATAATTATTATCGAAAGACCTTAAAGAAGGAAAAGATGTAAAATATTTGAAGAAATAGAAACTGTGCGAAGAGAGAGATTTCAATTTTTTTTCAATGACGTGGGATGACTTGGAGATTTGAACTAAAACCGACCGTGTTTCTTATTATTTGTTTATGCAACAAAACTTGAAACTTTGTTGCATGTTGTAATGATATGAAATAAACAAATGATTTGATTGTATGTGTGATGCTAATTCATTGTACCTAAAATGGACACCAAAACCGAATTCAATTCTGTCGTGCATACAATTGTCATGTTTAAAGAAAAATGAACTTTAAGATATTTTTGGGTTGAACCCTAACCTTAAGGGTCCCCCACCGTCCCGCTTCTGGAGCATCGTGAGAGAAGTTAATCGCGGACTGTGCCCCAACAGATTAGGAAACAAGAGTTGCCAATACACTAGTACTCACAGAGAGTCTCAATCCATGTTTCAAGAATCGAAGAACTTTAAGATATTTTCTTTTTACTAATATGTGGTCTTCTTTATTCCAATAATTGTAGTTAAAGAAAATGTCCTGTCTATTTTGTCTGAGAAATTAGGTATGGTCAAATTCTCCATGATTTTAGTTGTTAAACTTTCCCAAAAGTGTGCCACTAATGTGATTGGATTGCTCCCAAAGTGCTTTTGTGAGGCAATTAAATTGTAAATTGCATTCTATCCGTAAGCGTTTAGTATGCATCAAAACTCTAAATATATGACACCTTAGTCGAAAATACTTTTAGAAAGTTGATTCGAATTCTTTTGAACACCCCATACTTGAAATATTCAATTTATCTTGTGTTCTTTCTCATTTGATTCTTTTAACGAAAAATTAATTTTTAACGAGTGTTACACTAAACTTCATATTGAATGATTGATTCATTTAAATTGTCTAAGCGTCAATTGTGGTCTCAATTGATCTTTTGTTGCAAAAATTAAAGCTTCTCATATGCTTTTGTTATTTGACCAAACTAATTTGTTTGTTGATGACGATTCTCAAAGGACAAACATCAGAGGGTCACGAGAAATCACTTAGGAAAGTTGTGGATTGACTGAAGGTTACAAGACACGATCAGAGGATTCGAGCATAGATTCAGGACTGGCATAAGGTCAAAACTGGTTGTCGTAGCTCCAATCCGAGTGTGGATAAAATAGGAATCAGGGAGTGATTCAATTTTTCTTTTAAGTCCATTTCTATTTCGGTTAAAAAAATTTAATGTTAATTATTTATTTTGTAATTCTGAATTGAAGTGTGTATTGAGCTTTTCTAGTGAATTTATTCTTAGCTTGAGAGACCGTGGATTTTTTCATGTTGTGAGATTTTACCACCTAAAATAAGTTCATGGGTTTACTGTTTTACGTGCATGAAAATTTTCGCTGTGATTGAGACCGTTAAAACATTGGTCAAATTATGAAATTTAGACCGTCTAACATTAATTAAACTGTAAAGTTCGATTCCTTGTTTGGTAGGGATTTTTTTAATTGATTTTTTGATCATTAGAGATAAAGTGAGTCTTACCTGTGAGAGAAGAATTCAAAAATGACGGCAGGAATAATGAAATAATTGTAAAAAAAATTGATGTTAATTGAATTAAAATCACTACCAAGCATGTGACTATTACAACATTAGTCAAATAATGAAAATCTAAATTATTCTAAGCATGCTATAATTAATCGTGACATGTTTATTTGATAAAAGTGTTCTCTCCCCTTCAAACTTTACTCCTTAGAGGAAGGGATATGCAAAACGAATCGCTTTCTAGAAGAAGGTGATTCTATTTTATTTTATTTGTTTTATTTTGGGGACTTATACTAAATTGTAATGTGTCTCATAACCAAGAAAAAAAATTTGGTGGGTCATTTCGGTTTTGGATCTGGAACTAATGGGTTCAAGAATTAATTATGCATTTTCAAGTCTTGAAGAATCTGCTGCCTTCGATATTTAGAAAAATGGTACAATATCGAAAAATTGCACATACTATCTAAGTATCTATTCAACCCCCATATAGATTGTACTATTAATTTAGATCTAGACTTAAGATCGTGGTGAGCAACCTACAATTTGAAATAGAGTAATATTATTTTTATCATGTTTTTTGACTTATTACTTTTGTTATGTGTTAGTTTCCAGTTTGTGTAGTACCTAAAAAAGAACACTTAGGAGATAGAAGATCGACAAAAATATATATATAGACACGCACATATATACAACTCTATAACAACTGTACGGTTTTCAAGTAAGATAATAGAGTCATATAATTTTTGTAAATAGACAACCATTCTCTTATTATTGAAGCATTGACATACATGTTGAAAAGCATATATGAAAAGTGTATGAATTGCGATAAGTAATGTACGATGTAATGAAGACCGTGCTAGAATGATTCTATTAAGCTGTCAGCTAGAATTCTACGAAAGCAATGAACATTGGTGACAATTATGATTCGTGAAAAATGCAATGGGGTGAGGCGCTAGAAATTAAGATTCGATTTAGCTAAAAATAAGATTTTTAGTAAATTTCGATGAGGGAAAACAAAATAAAAATGTGTGATTATAAAATTGATTAAAGTAGCGAATCCCGTGATATGAATGGTTGAAAATGAATTTCAGAAACTAGAGGTGTAATATATACTAAATATATGAAAATCTACAAATTCAGGATGTGTCTTAAGATGAATATGGTCCTTTTACGATGCTTTAAAGGCAATCAACAATCGCCTCCTACGATAGAACATATTTTCCCTCTTACAGAAGAAACACAACAATCTATAAAATTTCCAATGAGGACACTTCTGTGTTTTGTACTAAAAAATTAGGAACAAATAAATGAATTATCGCATATGAATATCATGGTATGTGTTCGCTAAAATACTACATGCCGCAAGCGCATAGGTCGTGTTCAAGTAATAAAGTTGACCTTTTGAGTCTGGATTGTTGATCTCTCGAAGAATGTATACTTTCGATTATACAACTCTAATTAATTTAATTCTAACAAAAAAAACATACACACAATAAAGATTATGATTTTGAAAAATAACTAAAAATCTACAAAATATGAAAATCTTGGGAATTTTCGGAAGCAAACGTAGTTGGTATTCATGGTTTCATTTAACCGCCGCCTAATTAATTTCTCCACAAGCCAATTAAAAAGTTACTCATTTATGATGTTAGACCCGCTTTTTCAATTTTAGTTAATTACCTATCTCAAGTGAAATTAACCATAATTAATTGGTTTAACCTACTATATCTCTATATCGATTAAAATCAAACAATAGCATTAAATATTTGTGAAAATAGCATATTGGGTCACCTACACAAACCTAGGATTTTTACTATTTAGTCTAAAATGCACAATCTTTTCTTGAACGATGTACAATTCACTAAACACAATCATTCATTGGCCACATAAATAAAAATGCATGGAATATAATAGAAGAAACACGTGAAAATAAGCCAATCAATATCAAAGGTCAAATATTAAAATTAATCAAGGTTAGATTAAACTACAACCATAAATCTCAATACAAATAGCTTAGCCAATATTATATAAATGAATAAAATGAGAATATTTTACACAATACGTTGCAAACATGGCAAAATATTCAAGAAAATACAAAATTATAGATACAACCCAATTTGAAGATTGACTTTGATTTTTCCAAATATTTAAATATTTTCTCTTTGTACTCTATAATTTGCTTTCAAAAGTACGAAGGAAAAGAAAAGAAAAAGAAGAGAAAAAGACAGAAGAAAGAAAACTAATAAGAAGAGAGGTTAGGGTTTTCTTTCCAAGATGAAGAATGATGAGAAAATGGTTGAATTTGTCTTTTAAAAGTCCCAAAAATCGTGTTTGGTTAATTGCAAAATGATCCCCAATTAAAAAATCTAGCCAGACAGATCTTGGTATGCAGTCGCGACGCCTTGAAGTGGCGCTACAGCGCCATAGTGGACAAAGCCGTGGCGCTGCGGCTCCTCTACAGTGCCACCTCCTATTTTATCTTATTTGCAGCTCAGTCCTCATATTTGCAAACTAGATCCCTCAATGTTTGAACTTGTACAAATTTGTCCTCGAATTTTGACTTTTATTTCAATTTTGCCCTCCAAAAATTACAGCTCCAAGTCCTTGAACTTTTGGTCCTTTTGCATTTTGGTCCCAACTTCACAAATTTGCACACTTTTAGTCCTTTTTCCTCCTTTTGCTGTATTCTCTTTTCTTGTATGATTTTTGGCCTACAAAAGCAAATATTACATAATTGTGAGTAAAATTTCACTAATTTAATCAATAAATAACACATTTAGATATTAAATAAGTGTGTAAAAATACACTTATTAGTATGTCTCATGATTGTTTCAATGTGTATTGGTATATACAATTCGGAATTGGTATTATAATTTTGGCATAGAAAAGTTCTATTCGTAAAGTGTTTATAGCCATTCAAACAACCTAAAAGTCATGAACAACAACAGTTCAGGTACTCTTCCAAATGAATTGAGGCATTCGTTAAGTCAGTCACAGACGTCAATCACGATTAGTAACAGACATTTATCACATACGTTAACCACAAACAGATGGTTGATCATAGCCCAAAAAGCTCAAAAAAAATAAAAATTCAAACGGTTTGAAATATAATACCATTAAGAATAATTTTGTTGATGTACCCAAAGAATTTTATAATTACAATTTGGCCTAGAAAATCTAAAGAAATTTTCTTCAAAAAGATATATTTCAGACAATGAGTCATACCGACACTACCCCGCCCAATTGCTAAACAATTCAATCAAATTCTTCCATACCAAGTTCAATTATGTCACTTTGAATCAAAATATTTCAGTCAGAACTTATTGTTTCGACAAATAATTCTATCACATTAATCCTTTCGCAAAATAAAACATGAATATGTTTGATCTAATTAATTTTGAATTACGGACCCCACTCTAAATTGACCTCAAAGATGCTCACTTGAAACCATTTTCCAACAAAAATTAGACCAAAAAATGTTTTATGTCGACTATAAGAATCTACAACATTTTGCCAGTGACAGTAGCAGAAATTTAGAAAATTTAAACTATCAAGCTACTGGTTAACTGGAAGGGCAGGCATCAATGGCTCATGAACTGCCATAGGAATAGTCTCGAACTTGCAATCAACCGATAACTGTTGAATCGAGTCTTGAACCTTAATTTTCTTGATAAGATTTAGCAGAATACGTTCGAGCTCAACCCCATCAGTCCATTCGTGGATTTCTGCTTTTACAAGTTCAGGATTTTTCGATATCAGTTCCCAAACCGGGAAATTCTTCCTCGGCATTACGTAATCTACTTCCTTAAGCTTCGACATCGGACAAAAGTCACCCCTTCCATCGCCAAGATAGATTATTCTTTTCTGCCCTTCTATAGCTAAAGAGGCTTGAATCCTCTCTATAATCTTTCCCTGCTTAAAACAAAACCAAAAAAATTAAAAAATATATATGATTAAATAAAATATATTGATTTGTTCTTAATGTGTCACCATCTTTCCAAAATTGTTTTTTAAGCTAATATTAATCAATTAACAAGGATAATTGTTGAGTTTAATTAGGCCACATTCCAGCATATTCTAGAATGAATAAATTCTTCATGGAATTGTTCTTGAACTGGGATTAGTAATAAAGTTATTGCAATTATTTTTTCAGTTTTTTTTTTGGTTCCTGTCTCTTATCTCTATTTGAACGCGTGGTGAAAGATCCATTTCTTTTGGGATCGACTAGTGACTATAATCCCATAATATATAACAAGAAAAACATGGGATGAAATTAGTATATATACCTTGCACATGTTTGGAGGGCAGAGATTGCAGCCATGAGAAGATGAATGAAAATCATGAAATGGGAAAATTCTTAGCCTTCCTTCTTCATCTACGTAGCTTGGATTTGTGTTGATTTCAGTAAAACATTCCCTTATTCCAAGATGATTCAAGATTGTTTCAATAAAGAAGAGATTTGCATCACTGACTACCCTCAAATCACACCTAGAATAGAAATTTTCCATCGAATTCTATCAATAAAAACGTATCGAAAACCGCATAATGTAAGAATTTTTTATCCCCAAATTCTGCAAAATTTACCCTAAAGAATGAGCTGTTTTGATGGCTGGGACTACTCTGGGATGTATTGGGACCCTTTTTAGTACATCTTCAATGTCTTCAATGGTTTTCCCTTCTGCATGAAGCTCTTTCATCATCCTGTCCTGTAATGACAAACAAATTCAAAAACCCATTGATTAGAAACTCAATTAGGAAAAAAATTCAAAACATATGAACATGTTTACATTTGTACATTGTATAAATTATGTTGACAACTTCTACCTTAAAAACCTGTAATAACTTTTTTTAAAGAATAAAATCCCAATAAAAACATAAACCAGTTGAACTTCTAAGATGGAATCTCAAGTCATAATACTATATCCCACGTTGCTAAGTTAAAGTCGGAAATAATGTGTAAATCAAAAGTTGAAAACTTACCATCATAGAATTCCAAGGCATGGTTGGAAGAAGTTGATTAAACAAGTCAGTAGCACCCAGTTCATCAACCACCCAATTATCGCTATCTATATCGATAATAGTCTTGTCGAAGTCGAAAATCACCATAATTTCTGTCATATCTGATTATGATCAAGAGCCCAATTGAAAGTTTTTTTTTTTTCTCTGATTTTCTTGGTATCAAATCATATGATTTTAGTGTTATATATATACACTCTAAGGAAGGGGTGGGGTATAGAGGGGATGGAGACGTTAGGTACCATTACTAATGCTGTTACTGTTCGTAAAGGATTTGTGAATTCAAATTAGATGCCAAAGGAATATTACTCCCAGAATTTGGGGTAAGCTATACTGCTAAAGCAGGGCCAATAATATTCCCATTTTTGGGGCTCTAGAAACCCCGTTAATTATGTCAGCCGTTGGATTTGGTGAGGTTAAGGTGTGGGGAAGATCCAACGGTCACGGGGGTTTTAAAATTTTTTAAGCCATTTGGGGGAAAAACATGGGAATAAAGAGAATATTCTATCGGAATTAGATTCTGGGAAAGCACTTAAGTGGAATATGCCGGTCGATTCCTGTTCAGATTCCGGGCGACTTGGTAAATTCCCATGTGTTCTAATGGCATATATTAGAGTACTAATTCTAGTGAATTTTTGATACTTTTCAATTGGAGTAGGCCATTTCTTTTAATTGTGGTCTATTTTGGTCCTATAAGGACTAGGATAAGTAATTTACGAAACAAATTAACAATTAATAAATTAAAGTTGTTCAGTTGAAATTGGTTTCTTTGTATTCAGATTCATTCAATGGGTGTGTATCTTATAGGATTAATTATGTCAATCGTCACAAGAGTTTGAGTAATTACGTGAATGATTATGAAACTATTTTTTGTGATAATCATCTAAGTTTATTTGTTACATAATTATCACTTAATTAGAATATGAAGTTTAAATTTTTTATATCACAATTGATTGTGATATTAATCACGAAATTGTGTTAAATTTTTCATCCAACTAATAATTCTTATCGAATTTGTATGAAGAGTATATGATAAGTACTCATGCGAAGTGTATTTGAAAAGATTCCCGAAAAAAGCTTCCCAAAAGAAATCTCCGTTTAT